GATCCAGTCTATGTAGACCGCGTCCTTGGAGGATCCAGTCTATGTAGACGGCGTCCTTGGAGGATCCAGTCTATGTAGACGGCGTCCTTGGAGGATCCAGTCTATGTAGACCGCGTCCTTGGAGGATCCAGTCCATGAATTCAAACAGAGCCTTGCTCTGTTCAGTCAGGTCACCTGATCAGCCGCTTCTCAAAGGCCTGAAACCAAACAGAAGCTCACAGCGAATCTAGATTTTCTACCTCCCTGTTCTTCCTTTTCTTTATAGTGAGATCACCTGACTGATTCAAACCAATGGCTGACTTTATGTTGCCATGACGACTAACGCTGGTTCACACCGTCCACGGCTAGAGCGGTGGGTTTACATGTTAACCCTCAGCTAACAGAGAGCGGAGCTTTAGTGACTCCCCCCTCCCTCCACTTCCACAGATAGAATTATGACAGCTAGATAGTAATCAGCAGGAGGAGCTATGGTTCTGCTTCAGCCATACCTTATCTGAATCTTTGCTCTCGTTCTCCCATCCAGGTTCCGCGGCGCCCCCCCCAGGAAGCATGGGTGGCGGGGTCTGAGCACATCCCCCTCCTAGAGACGGGTGCAGGTGAGGTGGAGGGGTCTTGGTGCAGCCCACCAATGGCAGAGAGCTGTGGAGGATGAACTGGGCGGGGCTGAGACCGGGAGGAGGAGGGGCAGAGGGAGGAGGGGGGATCAGGGTGGATGAGGAAGAGGAGGAGGAGGAGGAGGGAGCGTGATGCTGGTTCTGGTTGGCCTGGGACAGGATCTGGACACCAGAAACATAGAGAGGAGGGTTACTGCAGAACCACGGCCTGGTTCTGATGATGTCACGGCCAACAGAACCATCTGGTCTGATTGGTCTGGATCTATGTACTCTCCAGGTTTTAGATGTTCTCCTGGTTCTCTGTGTTCTAGTTCTCTGTGCCCTAGTTTACTGAGTTCCAGTTCCCTGCGTCCTAGTTCCATGTGTCCTAGTTCCCTGTGTCCTAGTTCACTGAGTTCTAGTTCCCTGTGTCCCGATTTCCTGTGTTCTACTTCTGTGTCCTAGTTCCCTGAGTTCTAGTTCCCTGAGTTCTAGTTCCCTGTGTCCTAGTGTCCTGAGTTCTAGTTCCCTGTGTCCCAGTTCCCTGAGTTCTAGTTCACTGAGTTCTAGTGTCGTGTCCCAGTTCCCTGTGTTCTACTTCTGTGTCCTAGTTTCCTGGGTTCTAGCTCCCTGTGTCCTAGTTCCCTCAGTTCTAGTTCCCTGTGTCCTAGTTGCCCGAGTTCTAGTTCCCTGTGTCCTAGTTCTGTGTTCTAGTTTCCCTGTGTCCTAGTTTCCCTGAGTTCTAGTTCCCTCAGTTCTAGTTCCCTGTGTCCTAGTTCCCCGAGTTCTAGTTCCCTGTGTCCTAGTTCACTGTGTCCCAGTTCCCTGAGTTCTTGTTCCCTGTATCCTAGTTTCCCTGTGTCCTAGTTTCCCTGAGTTCTAGTTCCCTCAGTTCTAGTTCCCCTGTGTCCTAGTTCCCCTGTGTCCTAGTTCCCCTGTGTCCCAGTTCCCCTGTGTCCCAGTTCCCCTGTGTCCCAGTTCCCCTGTGTCCCAGTTCCCTGTGTCCCAGTTCCCTGTATCCTAGTTTCCCTGTGTCCTAGTTCCCCTGTGTCCTAGTTCCCCTGTGTCCCAGTTCCCCTGTGTCCTAGTTCCCTGTGTCCTAGTTCCCCTGTGTCCCAGTTCCCCTGTGTCCCAGTTCCCCTGTGTCCCAGTTCCCTGT